GGGTCCGCAGCACCAGCAGCAGCGCCACCCCCAGAGTCGGCAGCTCCAACTCCGCTAGCACCGCCAGCGCCAGAGTCCCCAGCTCCAGCAGCTCCAGTCGCAGTGCTCCCAGAACAACCAGTCCCGGCAGCTCCAGTACCCCCAGTACGAGCACCCCCAGGACCCCCAACTCCAGCCGAGCCACTAGGACGGCGAAAGCGCCGGACGTACCAGTCACGAAGCTGCTGCGGTGTGAGAGACTGCTCAGCACCCCGAACCGGAGCACCCCCAGACGCAGTAACCCGAGGCTCCGTAGGCTCAGTAGCAGCACCCCCAGGCTCAGTACCCGCAGGCTCAGTACCCGCAGGCTCAGCACCCCCAGACTCCGCACACGCAGGCTCAGCACCCCCAGTCGCAGCACCCCCAGGCTCAGCACCCCCAGGCGGCAAACTCTCAGGCACAGTACCCTCAGCTCCAGTACCCGCAGTCCCAGCACTCCCAGGCCCAGCACCCGCAGGCTCAGCACCCTCGGGCTCAGCACTCCCAGCAGTACCACCTGCAGCAGCACCTGAGTCACCTGTGACCTCGACAGGCTCAGCGACGGGAGGAGGGTCTACCTGAGAGACACCTGAAGGAGCAGGACCCTGAGGGGGAAGGGGGTCTACCGGAGGGGGACCAGGAGCAAGGAAAAGCGGCGGGGGAGGGAGGGGGGCAGTGCGGTAGGGGAAGAGACGGTAAAAAGGGACCGACTCGTCAAAGGTGACATCCTGAGAGGCGAAGACCCGGCGCGAGGTGGGGTGGTAAAACTGCCAGCCAGGCGTGTCAGGGACAAAGCCAAGGAAGACACAGGGAAGCGTGCGGGAGGAGAGCTTGTCCGCGGACGTATCGCGGACAAGGGCACGAGCACCCCACACCCGGAAGCGCGACGCATCGCCAACCTCCCCCGTCCAACGCAGTGTGGGCGAGGTCTCCGGCAAGGAGACACGGGGCCAGAGGTTGAGCTGATGCGCGGCGTACCGGACAGCAAACGGCCACAGAAAATGGGGAGCCGCCGCGTGGACCAAGGAGGTACGAGCGACCTCCATGACCAGGCCAATGCGGCGCTCAGCAACCCCATTCTGCTGTGGGGAGTCCGGAAGCGTGAAGGTCTGCTCGATGCCCTCCGCCTGACAGAAGGTCCTCAAGAGGTCGGAGGAAAACTCACCACCTCTGTCAGAGTGCAGACGCAGGACAGGAAGATCCGTCCGGAAACGGCGGCGGAGCTGGAGACGAACTGTGCGGATCCAAGGGATCAGAACAGCAGGGACCTCACCCTTGGTGCGCAAGGGGAAGACCGTGGTGTAACGCGAGTAGTCGTCGACAACCAGCAAAAAGTACCGCTCACCGCCCTGACCACGAACGCGGGCTGGGCCCCACACGTCCAGGTGGAGGGTCTGCAGAGGAGCCTCTGTCGGGGGGAACGAGGAGGAGTGAGGAGCGGCGCGCTGCCGCCCCTCGACGCAAGGAAGGCAAGGCGGCGCAGGCGAGGCAGGGAGGGGAGGGAGGGACCTGGGAAGACCAGACACAAGGTGGCGACGGTGCATGCCACGAAGGCGTGGCAAGGAGGGGTGACCCAGGCGGTGGTGCCAGAGAAGAGTCTGGTGCGACAGGGAACGACACTCACAGGCGTGGGCTACCAGACCTGACGCAGACACCTGACCGACAGCAGCGACCTGAGGAGACGCAGTGGTCAGTGTGTAGAGACTCGACCCCGGCCGACGGGTAAACGTAGCCAGGTGACGGCCGGTCCTGGAGCACGTGCAGATCGCCACACGCTGTCCTCCAGGGGTAAAGGTGTCAACCCACTGATCCTGGAGGACAGCGTTGCTCACCAGGTTCGTCGAGAACGAGGGGAGGTGGAAACCCGACAACGAGCCAGACGGAACCGCCGGACAAGGGAGGACAGTGGTGGACTGGGCAAGGACTGGGCCCCCAGAGGGGTCAGCCAAGGAGACTGGGACCGGTGCAGGAAGCGGTGTGAGCTCAGTACTGTCACGAAAGAAGCAACGGGAAGCACCTGAGTCAAGGGTGAAGGTGTGACAGGCCTCAGCCGGTGCGGTACCTGAGAGAGCAGTCTCTGTGGGTGCTGTACCTGAGAGAGCAGACTCGAAAACAGCCGGGACAGCACTGGAGGGAGCAAGTACAGGGGGCACCATACCAGAGAGAGCAGACTCACTAGTACCCAGGGCAGCGGGCTCTATACCTGGGTCAGGCGGCACACACAAGTAACAGTCTCCCTCGGCACTAACAGTCAATGCATACATGGCAGCAATAATAGCATCATAGTCAAGAGCAAAGACATCAACACCAGCCCTCATGAGCTCAGCCCAGCGGGGGCGCTCAACATCCGCACCCATCTCCTCACGCCAAGCGTCGTCAAGGCGGGAGAAGCAGCGGTACGGGGTGTGGAACCTCCCACACGTCTGTCCCTTGCGGTCACCTGTGCGAATGACATAAGAACAGCGGCCACTGCCCCCCGACGTCCCACGCTGAGCAAGCCACTCACGAAGCTGCTGGGTCGTCTGGGGACGCTGCTGCTGCTGGGAGCCCTGGCCCGAGCCAGTGCCTCCACTCCGACCTCCGCCGCCACCACTACCACCGCTCCGACCGCCACCGCCACCACCGCCACCACCGCCACCGCCGCCACCGCCGCCGCCGCCACCACCGCCACTGCTCCCTCCGCCGCCCCCGCCTCCACCACCGACCCCACTCCCACCAGCGCTCCCGCCACCGCTCCCTCCAGCACCGCCTCCCCCCCCCCCCCCCCCACCTCCTCCCCCCCCAGCGCCACCCCCGCCACCCTTGCCCCCCTTGCCCTTGCCGGTGCGGCGCCTCCCACCAGGAGTAGAAGCAGCGCCAACAGACTCAGCACCAAGGAAGTCAACAGCAGCAGCAGCAGCGTAGGAGGGAGCGAGGGGAGAGGGAGAACACCCCTCAAAGATGGGGGTGCGAGGAGCGCCACGAGCAGCACCGACAGCTACAATGCTCTTTTCGGCCGCGAGCAGCTGCTCCTCTAGGAGGGTGACTGTGAGCTCAGTGGGACAGCGAGCAAGGAAGTGGTCTCGAACTGAGCTGAGGGTGTCAGGGAGACGGGTGACTATGAAGTGGAGTGTCCAGTACAGTGGAGGGGGGTTCTTAGCGCAGAACTCGGTGGGAAGGGCGGCACGCAGGCGAGCATCACTAGTGCGAAGGTGGGTGATAAGATCGGCGACTGTAGCAAAGGTGGACAGATCGGGGAACAGGTACGGCAGCATGAGGCGGCTAAGCTCGGCTGTGGCAGGCGAGGAGTAGCGAGCAACGACAGCATCGTACAGGGCCTTAGCGGATTTGCAGTCGCCAAAATGCTCGAGCTCAGCTAGCGGCAGGTGACTGCGAATGGCTAGGCGAGCAGCTGCGTCACGAGTCTGCCAGTGGGAACGAACACTAAGCTCGGCTGTGGCAGCAGGAGCAGCGGCAGCACCAGACGCGTAGTCATAGAGGGAGATGTGGTCCGTGCTATTGCTCATAAGATACAACTGCAGGTCGTCGAGCCAGGAAGTGAACTGCACGGGACGGCCCTCAGCATCGAAGGAAAGAACGCGAATAGAGGCCATAGCTCAGGCGTGAGGGCACAGCAGAGCAGCGGCAGCAGCAGAGGGGACGCGCTAGAGCGAAGCTAGCAGCCACAGCAGGAGCAAGCGGCGGTGCACAGGCAGGGAGCAGCAGGCGAGGCGGGCGGCGCTGCAGGCGGGAAGTGCGGCGGGCGGGCTGCGTGGCGAGCGGGCAGTGCGGCGGGCGGCTGCGAAGCGGGCAGCGGGCGGGCGGGCGACGCTGCAAGCGGGCAGCGGGCGGGCGGGCGACGCTGCAAGCGGGCAGCGAGGCGGGAGGGCGACGCTGCGAGCGGGCAGCGGGCGGGCGGGCGACGCTGCGAGCGGGCAGCGAGCGAGCGGGCGACGCTGCGAAGCGGGCAGCGGGCGGGCGGGCGACGCTGCGAGGGGGCAGAAAGCGGGCGGGCGACGCTGCGAAGCAGGTAGCGGGCGGGCGGGCGGCGCTGCGAGCGGGCAGCGAAGCGGGCGGGCCGCGAAGCGGGCAGCGAGCGGGCGGGCGGGCTGCGAAGCGGGCAGCGGGGCGAGCGGGCTGCGAAGCGGGCAGCGGGGCGAGCGGGCGACGCTGCGAGCAGGCAGCGCGGCGGGCGAGGGGCGAGCGGGCAGCGTGGCGGGCGGGCGACGCTGCGAGCGGGCGGCTCGGCGGGCGGGCGACGCTGCAAGGGGCGCGCGAGGGCGCTAGCGAGGGGCGCGCGAGGGCGCTAGCAAGGGGCGCGCGAGGGCGCTAACGAGGGGCGCGCGAGGGCGCTAACGAGGGGCGCGCGAGGGCGCTAACGAGGGGCGCGCGAGGGCGCTAACGAGGGCGCACGAGGGCGCTACGAGGCTAGGGCACGGGGTAGCGTGGTAACCGCATGCGAGCGGTGGTGGGCCCTTAAAAAAAAACGATCGGTAGGTCCTAGGGACCTCCTGCTCTGAATACCATCTCAGAATAACTAGCCAAGAATGGATGAACTAGCAGAAGTTTGGGTACAAATATGAAACCCTAGTTGGGGTTGTACCCCATATTGGCTACCCCACTACAGCCTACAAGCATAATACAGTTTAACAACATTGTCTCCATGGGGGCGAGGTTCCAGCCAAAGAGGGTGATGAGAAGGATAAACATCAACTTTATACGCCATGTTAAAATCTACAATAGAGCACGGAAGAAGAAAGGCGGAAAAAGGGACCACAACAGGCTAGAAGGTTGGGGAGACCTCTGGCAAGCGACGAGACGAAGGTGACGAGTAGGATCTGTATCGGGGAGGACTCGCTGATGTGGAGAGCAGACAACAAGGCAGTATGGGAGGACCCGTCAGTCTCCTTTCAGCCACCGTAGTGTACACAAGGGTCTGTCTACACGAGTAGACGGTACGCCTCCTTAACAATTACTTACGACTGCGGATGCCCTATGTACTTTCATCCAGCGAAAAAAAAAGGGCGATGGGAAGCAGAAGCGAGCGCGATCAAGATAAACAAGCAACAGTCCAAAACACACACACACACACACACACACACACACACACACACACACACACACACACACACACACACACACACACACACACACACACACACACACACATATATATATATATATAAACTGCCCTTCCTAAGTAATTTCCGTAGATGTTGGTTTTGTTCAATTCGAGTCCTCCGATTGGCTGCGGAACTGATTTTTTGCACGGAACAGTTATCAACCCCCCTTCAGGCTGCAAAAATACTTGCCAAAAAGGGACTGTAGAGGAGGGGCCACACCTAGGAATGATAGGAAAAAACTCCTCTTTTTCTGAAAATGGAGCCTATTAGCGCGGACTCTTATACCAGAACACTTGTATATTTGCAGTGGACACAGCCTGCCACGCCGCGTGCTTTCTATGCGCCATTCGAGAAATGGTTGACTGGGGTGCAGTTGAGCTATTCGACTTCCTTGGCAGAAACCCGCACGCTGACGATGGAACTTCTGCTCCCATTGCCTGGCGCCCACCACACGGCGCTCCTTTCCGCTTTTCACCCAGGCAAGGCATGCACTGCCTTCAGTTCCGTCCCATGTCACACGTTCCCTATTCTGAGGTCAAAGTCTGAGGTCATAGGAACTGCCGCTGGTATCTCGAGATCCACCCGTAGTACAAGGTGGAAATGAGACATCTTGGCCGGCCAGCGCCGGGGCGTGAACGCTCGCGGCCGCGTATACGGCGACTTCAGGAAAGCTACCTCTACTACTACTGGTGCAAGGCGGTCTTGATATGAGTGATGCGAGTGCCGGGAATCAAGGCGGGATGCAGTTATGGCATTTGTATTGTCCCTGCGTCGTCTTTCTGTTAGTAACTCCGTAGAGCGAATATTGCGCTCGTTCGCGGTACTGGTCGTCCTGTCGTGCCTCATTCGAGTGTGTTACCATCAACTCATAGCGCCGTCGCCAGTCGACGCTCCATTCACCTTCCGCAATCTCCAACTCCGTTACCGCCCTTCTCTTCTCCCTCTAAAAACCCTCACCCACGATCCCCTGCTACTACTACTACTAGCCAAGCCCGCCGTGACCACTGCTAGCAGAAATGCTTCACTTAATCTCACTGCTGCTGTGCTTCCCGCGCCTCCTCCCATTCAACCTGCTAGTGTGGTCGCGCCTAGTGTGGTCGCGCCTCCTCCCGTCCAACCCAGTGTGGCTGGGCGTGGCCAGCCAACAGCGCGTGCGCATCGCATGAGCGATTCGTGCGTGACGGCCATGAGAATCTCCCACGCCCTCACCTCCCCTAACGCCCGCGGGCCCGCGCTGACTCCGCCGCAGAAGCGTGCCGCCGCCGCGTGCAGGAGAGAGCTGCTGAGCGCGCTGCAGCAGTGGGCGGCAGAAGCGAGGCGGAGAGACGCCGAGGCCGCCTGCCAGTGGGAGTCGCCGGAGCTGCCGCCGAGCCCACACTCGCAGGCCACACGCGAAGTTCACAGCGGCCCTGCTGATGATAGCTCCGCTGACCCCGCTGATAGCCGCCCTACCGCCGACAGCACCACGACTACTAGTAGTAGAATCGATAGTACCATCACCGGCGCCAGCAGCACCGTTGACACAATTCTGAGCGCAGCTGCTGACTCTGTCAGCCCTGCTCCTGCTGCTCCTAATTCTCCTGCTGCTCCCACTCCCGCTGCTGCTGCTGCTCCTGCTCCTGCTCCTGCTCCTGCTCCTGCTGCTGCTCCTGCTCCTATCGCTGCCCCTGTTGCTGCCGCAGAAGACTCCGCCGCGCCGCTGTGCTCCGCGGCCTGGCGGCGGGCGGCGCTGGCGCGAGCTGCAACGAGTGCGTATGTGTCGAGGGCGGTTAAGCAGAACATGACTTCACTGGCGCGGATAGAAGCCGGCGTGAATGCAGTGTGCCGCGGGGTGCGCGAGATAGAGGCCAGCCTGGTCGGCGAGTGCGGCGACAAGGGTAACGTGGGTGGTCAGGGTGGGAAGGTGCTGGAAGCTGAAGCAGGAGCAGCAGCGGGAGCAGCAGCGGGAGTGGGAGCAGCAGCGGGAGCACGAGCAGGAGAAGCAGCGGGAGCAGCAGCGGGAGCAACAGCAGCAAAGTGCAGCACGTGGCCTGAGGCGTGCTGGCCTGTGCCACACATGCCTTTTTCCGATGTCATGGTGCTCCCTTCCGATTCCCCCTTTCCTTCCTTATCGTCCCTCTTTCCTCACCCTACTGTCTTCCTCTCGTCCATCACAACACGCAAACTTACTCACCGTGCGCGCTCAAAAGAAAGGCTCTCAATGCTCCCCTTCATCCTTCAAACCCCACAGAATCCCCCCTCCCCCCTTCCTCCCCCTCCCCTCCCCCATCTACCTTAATTTTCCCTCCTCGGAGCTCGCCCCATCCATTTGACGGTCCTTGCATTGATAGTCCAGAAGAATACAGTCTTGCATTTCCCCATTTCCCCTCTCTCCACGACATCCCCCCCCAGTCCACTAGGGCACACAAGCGCTACCAAGAATTCTACGGGTTATCCTCCGAGCCTTGTGCCCCTCTCCCTCCATACCATTCCATCCCCTCCCACCAGGGCGTGCAGGTTCCTTGTCTTGGCATACCCCGACGAGCAGCCGAGTTTTGAGTCGACTCAAAACTCAACTCATTTCCCACGACCTCCATTTCCCCCCCCCCCCCCCCCCCCCCCCCCCCCCCCCCTCTCTTCTCTCCCCCAAGGCCACGAGGGCGCGCAGGTTCCTCGTGCTTGCCTACCCCGACGAGCAGCTGAGTTGTGAGTCGACTCAAAACTCAACTCATTTCCCACGCCCTCCATTCCACCCCCTCCCTCCCCCCCTCCTCCCCCTCCAAGGCCACGAGGGCGCGCAGGTTCCTGGTGTTCGCCTACTCGGACGAGCAGCTCTCCAACACGCGCTCTCACCTCGCAGAGGCCGCCCGCTTCGTCCAGGCCACCAACCGCACGCTCGTGCTGCCCAAGGTACTGCTCTACTCCCTTTGCAATGCCTGCAGGCTTACACGAAGGTTTGTAAGCCAACTGCTGCGCCTCTGATTAAAACCCGCAGGCCAAGAAGTTCAACCTTAGGAAGGTTGGTTGGGAGTGAAAGCGTGATTGGCCCGCGAACGTTGGGGGTGTCGAGATTGTTGAGAATGTTCGTGAACTTGCGCAGGTTCGCCAATGTTACCAGGGTTTACCTGTGACATGTACTTTACGCACACATCAGTCGCACAGAGCCTAAAGCGACACCTCACAGCAACCTGACTCACAACCCCATTTCCCAACACCACGTCACCTCATTGTAGTATAGGAAACCGCGCCGACCACAAGTAGCTAGGAAATTGAGCCCAGCGCAAGGGCAAAGCCCCATCCGTCAAATCTCGAAAACGGCGGGATAGTGATAGCGTACACAAAGCTGCTCGACGGCATCAATTCCTATCGCAGCGAATTAGAGGCGACACATTGCACGAGTCGGCAACGCCCGTACGTGCGTCACTTGGCAAGCTGCGAATCCTTTCGATTACCCCGCGAGTAGCGTTGCTCATCCCGTCCCCCTCCCGTCGCCTTCACTCCCTCCCCCGGTCGCCTTCACTTCCCCCTCCCGTCGCCTTCACTCCCTCCTCCGGTCGCCTTCACATCCCCCTCCTGTCGCCTTCACTCCCCCCTCCCGTCGCCTTCCCTTTTCCCTCCCGTCGCCTTCCCTTTTCCCTCCCGTCGCCTTCACTTCCCTCTCCCATCGCCCTGCTCATTCTCCCGTCGCCCTCGCTTCCCCGGCTCACCCTGTTTCCCCAGCTCCTTCGCTACCCCCCGGCTCTCTCTGTCTGTCTCCCCTGCTCATTCTCTTCCCCGTCTCCCCCCCAATCCCCCACAACCTCTTCCTCAAGTCGTTGGTTCACTTGCGCTAACGCTTCCTGCCCCGACGCTACCCCAACCCTGCACCCGACGCCAACCCGCCATTTCTCCACGCTAATCCTCCCTTTCCCTCACTACCACCCGCCCAATCCCCCACTCCCCCGCGTCCTTTCCGCCACTCCCCCCTGCCCTTTCCCCCACTCGCACCCGTCCATTCCCCCACTGGCCCGGTCCTTTCCCCCACTTCCCCCCCGTCATTTCCCCCACTCTCCCTCGCCCTTTGCCGTCCTCCCTTCTCACAGCTACCCTTGTCATTCTCCCATCCCTGATTCACTTGCGCTAACGCCTCCTGCACCGATGCTCCCCTTTATCCCACTCCCACCATCTCTTTTCCACCCCCTCCTCCCCCCCTTCTCCTGGGGTCGCTGGTGCACTGCAGCCGTCTGTGAGAGTGGGTTTAGCAGCATCACCAGCGCCTCTGCCGGAAGGCTCCTCACCTTCCGCCGCCTGCTCTCCACCAACTCCTCCTGGACTGCCATATCCCACCACCCGTCCTCTCCCTCCGCCTCATCTCCTTCCTCTTCTCACTCCTCCTCTTCCTCCTCGCCCCTCACTCATCTCGTTCTCTCTGGTGCCTCAATCGCTCCTCCCTCATCCCTCTTCCCTAGCCACCTCCCTAGCCATCCTCACCCACCTCGACCTCTCCCACTCGTGCGGCGCCACACTTCCTCCTCCTCCGCACCTCACCACCCTCCACCGCACTCCACTCCTCCAGGCCCTCACACCCCACCCTGCGGCTAGCAGTGGTTACAAGCAGCAGTATCCCTCACACACCTCCACCTCTCCTCTGCTGCTGTCTCTGACGCCCTTGTGTTACACCTCGCCCACCCCCGTCCCCACATGGTATGCCAGCTCCTCACCACTCTCCACCGCACTCTATTCCCCCTCTGAAACTTTCCCCACTCCTCCAGGGCCACACCGCCTTTTCGACCGTGCATGCCCTGCGCTCCCAACACGCCTCTTCGTGCGAACCATGTCATCCTCTCTCCCCCTCATCCTTTCCCCCACTCCCCCCCGGCCTTTCCCCCACACCCCACCCGTCCATTCCCCCACTCCCCCCCGTCCTTTCCCCCACTCTCCCTCGCCCTTTTCCTTACAATAATCCTCCCTTTCCCCGACGCCAACCCTCCCTTTCCCCCACGCTAATGCTCCCTTTCCCCCATGCCAACCCTCCCTTTCCCCCACGCCAATCTTCTCTTTCCCCCACGCCAATCTTCTCTTTCCCCCACGTCAATCTTCTCTTTCCCCCACGCCAATCCTCCCTTTCCCCCACGCCAATCCTCCCTTTCCCTCAATACCACCCGCCCTTTCCCCCAATCCCACCCTCCTTTTCCCCCACTACCACCCTCCCTTTCCCCCACGCTGACCCTCCCTCCCCCCCTCGCTTTTCCACACGCCAATCCTCCCTTTCACCATGTCATCGCCTCTCTCCCCCCCTGCTCACTCTCTTTCCCCCCTTCTCACCCATTTCCCCCCTGCTCGGTCTATTTCCCCCTTTGCTCGCCCCTATATTCCCCTGCTCACTCCCTTGCCCCTTGCTCACTCTCTCCCCCTCGTCATCCCTTTCCCCCTGTACTCACCCATCTCTCCCCCTGTTTACTCTCTATTCCCCTTCGTTCAACCCTTTTCCACCCCCAAGTCCTCTCATTTCCCCTGTTCGCACCCCTCCTTAGCCCTTGCTTTCTCCTTTGCTCACCCCCTTCTCCACCCTGCTCACTCTCTTTCCCCTTTTGCTCACCCCTCTGCCTTGTCCACTCCTCCCATTACATGCCCTTCTGTACCTCCACCTCCACCCCTCGCTTATTCTGCCATATCCCCTCTTCGCTCCCTGTTCTATCACAGAACCATGCTTGTACAGGCGCCCATCACCATGGGTCGTGGCCTGGCAGGAATGGGTTGAAATGTTCCGCCTCCTAGCTTTGTGCATGTGCCTATAGTCCACTCTTGGAAATATAGCTTGCTTTGTTGCACTTCCTTGTAATGGTCATGTGCATTTCTGCTCCAAAACACCAAGTTGTGTATTATGAGAAGAATCCAACATCAATATATGAGAGCTATTTGTCATACGGTACCACTATAATCAAACAACAAACACATCACAACTGGATGCATGGCAGACCTGCACACACACAGAGTGGTTGTAAGGGGAGAGAGAGCGGGGAAAGGCACTGAGCCAGAGAATTGGGAGAGGGAATAGATGAAGAAAGGAAGGGGGTGGGAGAGGACGACGTTGGGTAGATGGGTGGAAGGGAGGGAGGAAGGAAGAACGGGAGGATGGGAGGATGAGAGGGAGTAGGAGGGTGGGAGATGGGAAGGGGATGGGGGACAGGATCGAGAGAGGATGAGGAGATGGGAGAATGGCAGGAAGGGGACGGGAGGAAGGGAGGGAGGACGACTGTGGGGGACCAAAGGAACGGAGTAAGGGAGGAGGGCAGGAGGTAAACGTGTGGCAGGGTATAAGGGTGGAATAGGGGATAGGAGGAGGACCTCTGCACCCTTTTTCCCTACCCCCCGCCTCCCCTGCCCCGCCTCCCCCGCTCCCCTGCAGGGCCCTCTGCAGCACTGCCCTCCTTGCTGCCCGCCTGCACGCACTGCCCCGGCTGTGCGCCCAACACTCTGCTCCAAACCCGCACCACCACCTGCCATGCGTGCGGGGTTGGTGCAAGAGAGAGATGGTGGGCAGGGAAGGGTGGATGACAGGGGTAGCAAGGGGAAGGGAGAATGACAGGGGCCGCAAGGGGAAGGGAGAATGACAGGGGCCGCAAGGGGAAGGGAGAATGACAGGGGCCGCAAGGGGAAGGGAGAATGACAGGGGCCGCAAGGGGAAGGGAGAATGACAGGGGCCGCAAGGGGAAGGGAGAATGACAGGGGCCGCAAGGGGAAGGGAGAATGACAGGGGCCGCAAGGGGAAGGGAGAATGACAGGGGCCGCAAGGGGAAGGGAGAATGACAGGGGCCGCAAGGGGAAGGGAGAATGACAGGGGCCGCAAGGGGAAGGGAGAATGACAGGGGCCGCAAGGGGAAGGGATTATGATAGGGGTAGCAGGGGGAAGAGAGAATGATAGGGGTAGCAGGGAGAACGGGTGGTTGACAGGGGTAAGCAAGGGGAAGGGAGAATGATAGGGTAGCCGATGCATCTCCCCATACCCTAGCTACCCCCCTGTCGATGCATCTCCCCATGCCCAAGCAACCCCCCTGTCGATGCATCTCCCCATGCCCAAGCAACCCCCCTGTCGATGCATCTCCCCATGCCCAAGCAACCCCCCTGTCGATGCATCTCCCCATGCCCAAGCAACCCCCCTGTCGATGCATCTCCCCATGCCCAAGCAACCCCCCTGTCGATGCATCTCCCCATGCCCAAGCAACCCCCCTGTCGATGCATCTCCCCATACCCAAGCTACCCCCCTGTCGATGCATCTCCCCATGAGAGAGGCGGAGGGTGAGAGAGGCGGAGGGTGAGAGAGGCGGAGGGTGAGAGAGGCGGAGGGTGAGAGAGGCGGAGCGTGAGAGAGGCGGAGGTGAGAGAGGCGGAGGTGAGAGAGGCGGAGGGTGAGAGAAGCGGAGGGTGAGAGAGGCGGAGGGTGAGAGAAGCGGAGGATGAGAGAGGCGGAGCGTGAGAGAGGCGGAGGTGAGAGAGGCGGAGGGTGAGAGAGGCAGAGGGTGAGAGAGGCGGCGGAGGTGAGAGAGGCGGAGCGTGAGAGAGGCGGAGGGTGAGAGAGGCGGGAGGGTGAGAGAAGCGGAGGGTGAGAGAGGCGGAGGGTGAGAGAAGCGGAGGGTGAGAGAGGCGGAGGGTGAGAGAGGCGGAGGTGAGAGAGGCGGAGCGTGAGAGAGGCGGAGGGTGAGAGAGGCGGAGGATGAGAGAGGCGGAGGGTGAGAGAGGCGGAGGGTGAGAGAAGCGGAGGGTGAGAGAGGCGGAGCGTGAGAGAGGCGGAGCGTGAGAGAGGCGGAGGGTGAGAGAGGCGGAGGATGAGAGAGGCGGAGGGTGAGAGAGGCGGAGGGTGAGAGAAGCGGAGGGTGAGAGAGGCGGAGCGTGAGAGAGGCGGAGCGTGAGAGAGGCGGAGGGTGAGAGAGGCGGAGGATGAGAGAGGCGGAGGGTGAGAGAGGCGGAGGGTGAGAGAAGCGGAGGGTGAGAGAGGCGGAGCGTGAGAGAGGCGGAGGTGAGAGAGGCGGAGGTGAGAGAGGCGGAGCGTGAGAGAGGCGGAGGGTGAGAGAGGCGGAGGATGAGAGAGGCGGAGGGTGAGAGAGGCGGAGGGTGAGAGAAGCGGAGGGTGAGAGAGGCGGAGGGTGAGAGAGGCGGAGGGTGAGAGAGGCGGAGGGTGAGAGAGGCGGCGGAGGTGAGAGAGGCGGAGCGTGAGAGAGGCGGAGGTGAGAGAGGCGGAGCGTGAGAGAGGCGGAGGGTGAGAGAGGCGGGAGGGTGAGAGAGGCGGAGGGTGAGAGAGGCGGAGGTGAGAGAGGCGGAGCGTGAGAGAGGCGGAGGGTGAGAGAGGCGGAGGATGAGAGAGGCGGAGGGTGAGAGAGGCGGAGGGTGAGAGAAGCGGAGGGTGAGAGAGGCGGAGCGTGAGAGAGGCGGAGGTGAGAGAGGCGGAGGTGAGAGAGGCGGAGGGTGAGAGAAGCGGAGGGTGAGAGAGGCGGAGGGTGAGAGAAGCGGAGGATGAGAGAGGCGGAGCGTGAGAGAGGCGGAGGTGAGAGAGGCGGAGGGTGAGAGAGGCAGAGGGTGAGAGAGGCGGCGGAGGTGAGAGAGGCGGAGCGTGAGAGAGGCGGAGGGTGAGAGAGGCGGGAGGGTGAGAGAAGCGGAGGGTGAGAGAGGCGGAGGGTGAGAGAAGCGGAGGGTGAGAGAGGCGGAGGGTGAGAGAGGCGGAGGTGAGAGAGGCGGAGCGTGAGAGAGGCGGAGGGTGAGAGAGGCGGAGGATGAGAGAGGCGGAGGGTGAGAGAGGCGGAGGGTGAGAGAAGCGGAGGGTGAGAGAGGCGGAGCGTGAGAGAGGCGGAGCGTGAGAGAGGCGGAGGGTGAGAGAGGCGGAGGATGAGAGAGGCGGAGGGTGAGAGAGGCGGAGGGTGAGAGAAGCGGAGGGTGAGAGAGGCGGAGCGTGAGAGAGGCGGAGCGTGAGAGAGGCGGAGGGTGAGAGAGGCGGAGGATGAGAGAGGCGGAGGGTGAGAGAGGCGGAGGGTGAGAGAAGCGGAGGGTGAGAGAGGCGGAGCGTGAGAGAGGCGGAGGTGAGAGAGGCGGAGGTGAGAGAGGCGGAGCGTGAGAGAGGCGGAGGGTGAGAGAGGCGGAGGATGAGAGAGGCGGAGGGTGAGAGAGGCGGAGGGTGAGAGAAGCGGAGGGTGAGAGAGGCGGAGGGTGAGAGAGGCGGAGGGTGAGAGAGGCGGAGGGTGAGAGAGGCGGCGGAGGTGAGAGAGGCGGAGCGTGAGAGAGGCGGAGGTGAGAGAGGCGGAGCGTGAGAGAGGCGGAGGGTGAGAGAGGCGGGAGGGTGAGAGAGGCGGAGGGTGAGAGAGGCGGAGGTGAGAGAGGCGGAGCGTGAGAGAGGCGGAGGGTGAGAGAGGCGGAGGATGAGAGAGGCGGAGGGTGAGAGAGGCGGAGGGTGAGAGAAGCGGAGGGTGAGAGAGGCGGAGCGTGAGAGAGGCGGAGGTGAGAGAGGCGGAGGTGAGAGGCGGAGCGTGAGAGAGGCGGAGGGTGAGAGAGGCGGAGGATGAGAGAGGCGGAGGGTGAGAGAGGCGGAGGGTGAGAGAAGCGGAGGGTGAGAGAGGCGGAGGTGAGAGAGGCGGAGGGTGAGAGAGGCGGAGGTGAGCGAGGTCGCATTGCCCCTGCAGGGAAAATCGTGACCTAATGTCGCCGTCGCGTTGCCTTGCAATGCAAATCGTGACCTAAATGCGACGTCGCATAGCTCTGCAGGTCGAATCGTGGCCATCGGTCTGCTAACGTCACCACGCACAACTACATTTCCGGTATTGTCGGTTTCCGCGACTTTAGCTCTCCCATACCTTTTGTAAATCGTGATTAGCTAGGCGGTATGTTGGCTAGTTGGCGGGCTACGCGGATCTAATAGTGGGTCCTAGAACTCGCGAATAATCACTAGCGTTTTTGGGACAAGTTTCTCTTGCCTGTGTGCCTCATGTTTACGCAGGTTGGTGTTGGGCGATATGCCGTGCGATGAAACCCAACTGGGCATTTGACGCTGCTACAGTGTTCTAGTTTGGCGAATGTTCAGGTCCAGGTTTGTGTGTTTCAAAAGTTGCCTCCGCTGGAAACCGGGTAACACCCAACCAACCTTAGGAAGCTTGAACCAATTTCGTGCTTCTTGACCCTCCGGTTTTAAGCCCCGTTTTGGCCCTGTGATCTAGGTCACGGGGTGGTATACCCTTGATGCCCAGCGTACCACTCCCTTGGCGGCCAATGTACCACTCCACACTCTCTGCTGTCTCCCGTCCCTCCTATTGTGCTTATGTTTCCCCTTCCTCTCCGTGGGAGCACCCCCCCCTCTTTGCTGTCCTTCAAAACCCCACTTTATCTCATTCCAATTCCACCCCATCCCCTCTCAACTCCCCCCTCCCCTCCCCCTCCCCATCTCCACCTCTCCCCCTCTCCCCCCTTCCCATCTCCCCCCTCCACCTCTCCCCCTCTCTCCCCTCTCCCCTTCTCCCCCTCTCTCACCTCTCCCCTCTCTCCTTCCCCCCACTTTCTCTCATTCCAACCATGGCAGGGCAGTCGCAGCAAACTCTCACTCGCCCGATCCCTGCCGCTCTGCACCTACTTCGACCTCTCTGGCCTCCACACCCACTGGATATCGCCCGAGCTCTTCCTGCTCCTCGCTAGAGCAGCTCTCGCACCCCCCTTTGCTGCTGCTGCACGTGGCGCCAGTCCCTCTGTGGGCTTCGTGCATCTTCAGTTCTCCACCATACAGCACATGCCCTTCACTCAAAGCAAGTACCACCTGCCGAATTTAGTTTTGAGGCGCCTCAAAACTAGACTTCGTGCATGTTCAGTTCTCCAACATACGGCGCATGCTATTCACTCAAAGCAAGTAGCAGCGGCCGAAGCATGCCCCTAGTGCCATGCCATCTCGAAACGTCTCAAATTACACTGCGATCTATAGCCGTTTCATGCCATGCCATAGCATCCCATTGTATCACATGACACCTGGTCTGGAAATGTGTAAACACCGCCGTTCATTGCTCCTTGCTGTGCACCTTGGGTGTGCACATGCCTCAGAAGCTCTGCTTGTTGCTCCTTGGTGGGCAGGGCCTGTGGTGGACATGCTGAGTGAGCTGATTGTGTACGGCATGGGCCACGCTCCCTCCAGACGCAACACTGCTGATATCATCATGCCAACCAACGACACTGCAGTTCTCAAGAGGCTCAATAATTGGTGCGTCACCCTATGCTGACTGCCTACATTCCATGCTGATTGCCCTCATTCTCTTTCCCCCTTATTGTGTGCTTCATGGTTTCGAATGCTGGCAAAGGAAATGATTATTGAATCTACCATCATCGTCTCCTGTCCAGGATCCACTGTACAGCACGCACCATAGCATAGTGCATCGTGTCTGATCCGCTGCCATGTCTTATTGAGCCATGCATTCCTCAGGAAGGAAACGACTCATAACATATGCACTCTGCCTCCTTCCTGTTTCTGCAACACAGGGCTGGCAATTGGAGTCTAAAGCTTGCCAATGCAACTTAGAGCTTGCCATTGCAGCTTGTCATTTTGCAACCATCTTAGCCAGCACACCCACCTTCCATCCACAAACGACTTGGCCACAATTCTGACTTCTTCTGCTATCTCCTGTGTGTTCCACGCATGCAGGCGGAACGTGGACATGCTGGTGTGGGTGAAGAGCACCTTCGGTCAGGTGGCCTTCAACCCTCCCACCAACGCCATCTCCTTCCAGATGCTTCCGTACAGCCAGCAGTGGCACGCCATGGCGCACCGAGCCATGGCCCGCCTGCCCTCGCGGTACATTGCGGTGCACTACCGCTCCGAGATCATCGCCTTCCACCTCGTGAGTTCATCGCCTTCCACCTCGTGAGTTCATCGCCTTCCACCTCGTGAGTTCATTGCTTTCCACCTCGTGAGTTCATCGCCTTCCACCTCGTGAGTTCATTGCTTTCCACCTCGTGAGTTCATCGCCTTCCACCTCGTGAGTTCATCGCCTTCCACCTCGTGAGTTCATCGCCTTCCACCTCGTGAGTTCATCGCCTTCCACCTCGTGAGTTCATCGCCTTCCACCTCGTGAGTTCATCGCCTTCCACCTCGTGAGTTCATCGCCTTCCACCTCGTGAGTTCATCGCCTTCCACCTCGTGAGTTCATCGCCTTCCACCTCGTGAGTTCATTGCTTTCCACCTCGTGAGTTCATCGCCTTCCACCTCAGTAGTTCCCCCCAGGGTGTTAAATAACGGCCGCCTTTTTGGAAAATCACCATAAAATACTATATCATATAAAGCAGTAAAAAAAAATTGGTGCGTCACCAACCCATGGGACCAAACTAGTGGTGGAAGTGAGGCGGAAGAGTGTATGCCAGATGCATTAACCAATTTGTAGGCACATTTGTTAGCCATTGCATGTTCCGCTTTGTGACCAGTACTGAAAGTATATCATACCCCCTTCTTTTTTGTTATCCTCTTTTTTTTTTTTTAATCTTTCAACAGAATCCTTTTTAAATGAACTGGCTGTTTATTTATGGATGTTAGTTGTTAAAACCTTGCTTTCGCTTCGTGAGTTCATGGCTGGCTGGATGGCAGCAGCATGCAACCCATGAAACTGACATGCCATTTGACGACATTTGGCTTTTGATCACACAGAGTGAGTCAAGAGTCATTTTTATTCTCATCTCGATGCTGCCCCTAATCCCACTCACCCACCCTGTAGCTGCACAAGCTAGTGCGACGAGGCTTCAAGGCGGAGGCAGGCGTGCTGGAGGCGCTGATGTCGGGGTGCATGGAGGTGGCGTGCGACCTCATCAACGGCATGAAGCGCCGCCACAACATCTCGGCCGTCTTCATCGTCGCCGACATGCCGTTTGACGACCACGCGGGCAGCCTCGTGCGCTCCGACTCGTGGAGGGAGACCACGTGGAAGTTCCAAGGGCAGGACAGGATCCTGCAGGCCCCGCGGGAGAAGCTGCGGTGGCTGAGGGAGCAGGTGGCGGGCACAGTGATGGTGGACGAGCTCTTGCCCGATGTCAACCAGTATGACCCCGGTCAGTGCACTCTGCTTGGGTGGGTGGCTTCTTTCGTGGGTCGCTGCTTGGGTGGGTGCCTCCTTGAGTGGCTGCTTTGATGCCTATTTGGGTAGCTGTGTGGGTGGCAGCTACAAGGTAAGATCTGCCTGCCAGAGCCTTTTTCTCTCTGCCAACGCATTCCAAGATGTGCGACTAGCTGTTCCTGTGTGCCATGCCAACCCTCATCCCCTTCCTACGCACCTGCTTTCCCTCTATTGCCATCTCCTCTCTCCGTTCCGTCCACACAGGCATAGTGGCCATAATGGACAAGCTGCTGTGTGCACATGCGCATGTGTTCCTGGCTGGGAGCATCATATGCGGGGGAGGCCATGGGTTTGAGGAGGACATCACGACCCACAGGGTTCACTGTAACAAGACTGTCTTCCACAGATGGGTCTTACAGACAGACAAGCCTCTATGGCACGTAAATGCAAGCTCTGCAGGTGCAGAGTGAGGGGGTATGGGTATTGTTGGCCTACTGTCAGCCCCCGGACATACGCGCCCCTGGGGTTGTAAAAAACACTTATTTTTAGGGGGTGCGCTTATAATCGAGGATTTTTATAAGCGCCGGCGCTAACATAATGACACATCTCTGTCAAGAACTGAATCATGGTTTGAGTAAGGTTGGTTGGGGTACCGTATTACCCCGGATAAAAGCGCAGGTGCGCTTACCGGTATTATAAATCAGTGTTTTTTGGGGGGGTGTGCTTATAAATGAGTCACGGGCATAAGCGCATGCAATTATATAATGACAATTACAGAAATATGTTTTAAGCGCACCAAATTGTTCATCTTAGTCTTACGATTCCAATCGAATCGAAATGTTAAAGCTCGCGTCTCATATTTCTGCCATCCAACCAAGTGTTAAACGGTTGGAATCCGGTAACACCAAAGTTTGTCGCAAATCACACCAAAGCAAGGGGTGGTTTGGGAAAGTTGGCTATCGCACACTTGCCCGTGCACACCAAGCGTTTACAACTCTCGAAAATATGAGACACTGAACTCAACGTTGACAGAAACCGGGACCATACCTGTCCCCCTTGGCTCGTTCCACCCAAACCAAACCACCCTGGTTTGTTTTGGCATCGACTGTTGGGAGTTCGCTGTGCTTTTTTTCACACACTCGTCAAATATTTCGTCTTCTGTTACCCAATCACAGACGGGCAAACCCAACCAAGTGTTAAACGGTAGGAAATATGAGATGCGAGCTTTAATGCGTCTTAGGTCAGAATCGCGCGAGGGTGATTGAATCCCCCCCCCCGTGCGTGCTGTCAGTCAGCTTCGTGCCGTGTCGCTTTTCCCGACCGGGCCGAACCGAACGGGCGAGTATGTTGGCCGACTTGTCGAGCGTGTCACAGCAAAGGTCGTAGACTCGCTGCAAAGCGGGAAATCGTTATGGTACAAAAACAGGAATAAAACATAGAATTATGCATGCCCTTATAATAAGTAAAGTTTTCAGAGGGGGTGCGCTTATAATTGAGGATCGGCCATAAGCGCATTGCTCCAGATATAAGCGCATGCGCTTTTAATAGGCCTGCGCTTATATCCGGGGCGATATGGTACATAAACCTAACCGTAACTGTTGTACCCCATATGACACACATCACTAAAGGCTACAACATTTGACACACCCCCATAGTCTAAGTTGTCAAATGTTGTAGCCTGTAGTGAGGTTTGTCTTAGGGGGTACAGAGGTTAGGGTTCTTAGAACTTAGGCTAGGAACAAATGAATCGATTAGGTCAAAGGGGGGGGTACAAGGAGAATGTCGAGAGAATTTCTGTACCCCCTAGTGCTACCCCACTACAGCCTAGACAAAGCCAACAAGCATATATAGTTTGACACACCCCCATAGGCAAAGTGGGGGAGAACAAAGGGTCACAAGACCAGTCAAGAGAAGCAAAGCAAGCTCAGGGTGGATCACAACGTCACCACACACTCTGAGCACAAGTAAAGGGCCACAAGGCCAGTCCGCATGCAGGGATATATATGTGACAAGAACAGTACAGTGATCACTACCTAGCAAGAACAAGCATGCAGGTATATATATATATAGATCACAGTACAAGCAAAGTCTACAGCAAGTGTGGAAACGTAGGCACAAGGCCTAACAAAGTACAAAAACGCTGATGATCACCAGACGGAAGTGCCTTGGTGAACATATCAGCAGTGTTGGCCCGAGTGGCCACGTGTGCAAGACGAAGCTGACCACGCTGCTGCAACTCTCGAGCCAGGAAGTACCGCAGAGCGATGTGCTTCGTTCTGTGCTCCAGTCTGTGCTCCTCACACAAGGCAATGGCAGCCTTGTTGTCGACGTACAGAACTGGAGGAGAACGAGGCCTCTCTCCCAAGTCGGTCAGCAGGTAGGTGAGCCAGCGTAACTCCTGAGCAGCCATGGCTGTGGCGTAGATCTCAGCCTCACAACTGGAGCCGAGAACAGAAGACGAGCGAGTAGAACGCCAAGAAACAGAACCAGAGCCAAGGCTGAAAGTGTAACCCTGTGACGACCGCTGCGTAGCCTGGTCGTCAACCCAAGAAGCGTCTGAGTGCCCAGTGAGGACCACCTCTCGCTGTCCTCCAAGCACGAGCCCCATGCCCGATGTACTGCACAAGTAGTGCAGTACCCTCTTCGCAGCATCCCAGTGCACCTTTCGGTGCCGACCAGGAGCCACATAGCGAGCCAGAAGGCCAAGAGGGTACGCAAGGTCAGGACGAGTGCAAGTCATCAGGTACATGAGGCAGCCCACTAGCTCTGGGTAAGGACCACTCGGCTCTACGGACTCGTCCGAAGGTGGAGCTGAGAGCGAGTGACCTGTAGCCAGAGGAGTGGACTGTGGCGAGGACCAGGTGAAGCCGAAGCGCTGAAGGACCTGCTGCACCATGTGTGACTGAGTCGTGTGATGTGCCAGAATATATATTGCATATATTTTGTATAAGTGCATGTAGTCTAGTGTAGTCACATATGTGCTTTGTGTGGTGGTGCACCACTCCTAGCTTGCTTCTCTCTCTCTTCTATTTGTACCCCTCTTTTCATAGTGCAACCCCTCCTTTGCTTGGATTCATTCCCTTTGCCTAGGCTAAACCCTAGTCACCTAGTCCTAAACTATGCCTACTATTTCAACATGGTAACAGAGCTGTTACGCTCCTGGCCTGTGGGCCCGCCTACTGCTTCCGCTGCCATACTGTCTGTCGCGCGCCCCGTGGCGCGCGACCTTCCTTTTTTTCTTCCCGCCACGCGCTCGGGGCGCGTGGCGGTTTTCTGTCCGCCACGCGCTCGGGGCTCGTGGCGGTTTCCTGCTCGCCGCGCGCCCCGGGAGCGCGCGGCGGTTTCGTCGCCCGTCGTGGCGCCCCGGGGGCCCGCGCGCTGTCCCCTCCCGTCGCCCGTCGTGGCGCCCTGGGGGCCTGCGCGTCGCCCCCGTCGTTCGTCGCGACGCCCCATGGGACCCGCGCGTCGCCCCCCGTCGCCCGTCGTGGCGCCCCCAGGGACCCGCGCGTCGCCCCCCCGTCGCCCGTCGTGGCGCCCCCAAGGACCCGCGCGCCTCCCCTGCCCGTCGCCCATAGCAGCGCCCCAGGGACCCGCGCCCCGCCCCCCCTTCCGCCCGCACGCCGCCCCTGCTGCTGCCCGCGTATCTGCCCCACCCTGCCTGCGTTGGGGTCTTGGGGTGGCGGGTGTGGGGGTGGCGGGTATAGGGGTAGCGGATGTGTGAACCCTCCCTTGCTCCTCCTCCTCCTCCGTCTCCCACTGCTGCAGCTGCCGCTGAGGGGGGTGGGTGTGTGGGAGCCGAGGGAGTGGCGCTAGGGGGGTGTCGTGGGAGTGGAGCTAGGGGTGCAGCAAGGGGGTGTGTGAAAAGGGGGTGTGGGACTGTTAGGGGAGGATGAGCGGAGGTCGTCGTCGTGTCGTCAGCAGCGCCAGTAGTCCGGAGCCCTCGTGCTCTCGGTAGCCCAGCGAGCCTGCTTCGCCAGTCGCCTGTGGGTCCGTTGCTCCTGTGTGTGCTCGTCGTAGCCGCGGAGCCAGATACTCCCGTAATCTGGTGCCCTCGTGCGCTCGGTAGCCACTGTGCGCGCCGCTCCTGTTGCCCGTGTGACTGCGGCTTCACCTGTCGCCTCCTATCTCCACTCCTCTCACAGTCCCTCCTCCTCCTCACTTCGCCTCTTCTTCAGCTGCTCTTTGCAGGGTGCACCACTTCAGGGGGTTTTCTGCACAAGGCTATTCCTGCATGCACTTAGGGGGTGTGTCAGAATATATATTCCATATATTTTGAATAAGTGCATGTTATCAAAATAACTAGGCAAGAAAATGGATGAACTAGCAGAAGTTTGGGTACAAATATGAAACCCTAGTTGGGGTTGTACCCCATATTGGCTACCCCACTACAGCCTACAAGCATAATACAGTTTAACACACCCCCATAGGCAAAGTGGGGGAGAACAAAGGGTCACAAGACCAGTCCAGCAAAGCAAAGCAAAGCCCAGGGTGGATCACAACGTCACCACACTCCGAGCACAAGTAAAGGCCACAAGGCCAGTTCACATGCAGTGCTAGATATAGTACAAGACAAGCAACACAGTGATCAAAACCTAGCAAGCAAGCAACAAGATATATATAAAGTACAGTACAAAGAATGTCAAGCAGTGAGCAAGTGAGGAAACGTGGACACAAGGCCTAAAGAAGTACAGTGCCGCTGATGATCACTAGGCGGGAGCGCCTTGGTGAAGATATCAGCAGTGTTGGCCTTCGAGTCCACGTACACAAGCCGAAGCTGACCGCGCTGCTGAAGCTCTCGAGCAAGAAAGTAGCGAAGAGCAATGTGCTTCGTCCTGTGCTCCAGTCTGTGCTCCTGACACAAGGCAAGAGCCGCCTTGTTGTCACCGTACAGAACTGGAGGAGAACTAGGCCGCTCTCCCAAGTCAGTCAGCAGGTAGGTGAGCCAGCGTAACTCTTGTGCAGCCATGGCTGTGGCGTAGATCTCAGCCTCACAACTAGAGCCGAGAACAGAGGAAGAGCGGGTGGACCGCCACGAGACAGAACCAGAGCCAAGGCTGAAGGTGTAACCCTGTGAC